ACATTTTGCACCATTTCAAGAAAATTAGTATTCTCACCTAACTTGCTGGACAGATTTTTACCAAAAAGGCACAGGATGAGAACAAAGAATCCTAAATAAGCAGTGTAGGGCTGCCAATTGCTATCGTCCCCACAGGGCTATAGGAAACAAACCTACTTCATATCAAGAGCATCTGCTCTAGTGAAAGGAACCATGAGCTGGCAAAACTGGACATTCACATCACTTCTAACACTGTAGGTTTCAGAGATCTGTGTCTTTGAAAGCTTCTTTGTTCAGCAGTCCAACACACATCCTTGTTCTGTGGGAGGCAGTTTACTGGCAGTACTTTAGAAAGAGCATATTACATAAAGTCGCACATCTTGCCCTGTGGGTTTCTGCATCCAGATTTGTTTTGGCACCAGGCAGCTTGGTTATATAGGATTTTGATCAAGCACTACAAGTCTGTAAAGTTAAACATATCAATCTCTCTCTTTACACCTGACAGGTAGCTTTATGTCCTGAAGGTTTTCTTACTCATCTGTAGAGCACCTGCCAGTATGCTCACGACCAGCCAGCTTAACTCAAGCTGTCAGTGACAGAATCCCAGCTGCCTGGATACTTTCCATTAGAATGGAAAGCCTACCAGTTATTATGTTGGTAGGAACTGCCATCTGGTAAAGAAGTGCAACTACACAGTTTGCGTTCAATGGATTTTCTTGTAAAAGTGAAATCAGAAATTCTTTGCCTACCTGATATCTCCATGACTGGCCACAGGTTTGAAATATAAGTTCTGAGACCCAACACCACCTCCTGGGCCATTACATAAGATATGACACAAGGTCACAAGAGACTGCTACTGAGCCTACTTCAGTGTAACACAGGAAACATCTCATACCTTGTGCAACAGAGTCAGACTGCACATCCCCATCATAGTTCTTGCAGGCCCAGACAAAGCCTCCTTCAGATTTCAGGGCCTGAGCAACCATGTCATCAATGAGCCTATGCTCATACCAGATCTTTTTGGCTTCAAACCGGGACTTGTATTCTCTGGAAAACAAAAACCAGAACACCTTGACATATAGATAAAGACAGGGATTGCACAGTTTGTGCAAGTAATTGTGCATAGTGAGGTACATAGAGATAAGAGTTAAAAAGAAAAACCTTAAAAGAAATTTGCATCCCCTTTACTCATTTTTTCCTCTCTTGCTTTGCTAGGCCACTGCGAGTCCGCTTCAGAATCACAGAGGAGCCCATAAAGAATCTGTGACACTCTGTTAGGAGAGATGAACACCACTGCCACATTTAGCAGAGCTTTAAACATTGAGTACCGTGTCCTGCAGGACAAGGGAGACTGCGATAGGGAAGGTGCACAGCCCCCGCAAAAGTGCTGCTGAGTGTCTGAAAATGCTGAATTAACTGTAGCAGCTCACAAGGCTGGGGAGGATGTTCCTGCTGCAGAGTTATGCACTGCAGTAGGAAGTACACAACTATCCTAGTTACCTGTCATAGATCTCTTGGAAGATGTCTTTAAAGCGGCCATCATATCTCTTCAGGATGGTGTTCTTGGTGCTCATGTAGAGGGGCCAGCCTTTAGACAGTGCCATTTGGAAGGAACTGTGGGCAAAATCCTTGATAGACTGGTCAAGATTGTACATTCCCATGGCTACACCACCACAGCCTGTTAGTGGAGGAAGAACAGATAGGAATCAACTAGATTTAGTTTTGGTTAAGGATGTGACGGTCTCCCCACAGCATACTGTCAGGCAGGTTGGTGTTATCCCCAGGTGTCTTGATATAGTTCTCAATTTAAGGCTGGTTCTTTCAGGGGAAGATTCACTTTGCACTATCAGCAAAAAGCTCCAGCAGTCCTGTGACACATGGATAGGAAGGTGATTTTGTTTTATAGCTAGGTACATCTCAATTCTGTGATCTAATACCCCTAAGAAGTTCTTCCTAATCCAGCCTAAGCAGCAAAACTGTACAGGAGTGAGCATGCTTGAACTCCTACTAGCCAGGTAAATAATACAGAGTATTTTTCTATCAAAGCAACAGGCCAGCAGTTTGGAGCAGGGGTCTCAGTCAAAGCTAGAAATAGGTTTGTTCCCATCTTAAGTGCCTTGTACCTTCAGGCTTTGACTGCACTGCAGAACTAACTCCAGCAGTCAGAGGCTGCTTTGCCTAGCCCAGGTAAAGCAAGTCCCCGCATATTTGGCCTACCCTGCAGCTTTGTTTCAGCTGCTCAGGCTCACTTCCAGCAAGTTGTGGGAAGAACATGCCAGTCATCTGGGTGTAAGGGAAAGTCCTGAAAAGGCTCTGAGGAACTATCAACACTCACGTGACTTAGATTGTGTAATGCAGATGTGTTAGCAGCCTGAACAGAAGTGACTTAAACTTACAGCCCAGCTCACCTGGGGGAAAGCAGCATTCAGATCATGGGAGAGGCTGATTGTGGGTGAAAGTAGGGTCTAGGGCTTCATGAAAAAGCTTTGTCATCTTCAGAGCACAGCTCTTTGTGTTTCTAGTGAAAAGTAGATACCATGTTCTTAACTTTAAGCACCTCACTACCACCACGTCTTTAGTTTGTTATACAGTGCCTTTATCAGTGATCTTTGCTCTGGAAACATCCCAGATTCTTTTAAATTTTTTATTTTTGAAAATACTCTTTCCTAATACCCATTTGTCCCTACCTCCAGATGGTTGTTACTCTATGGACATGCATGCAGAATGAAGAGGGGAAGCCAGAGAAGGTTTATCTGCTTGCCAAGATAGCAAGGTCATTTAAAGTTGATGTTGGCAGGGAATGAAATCCCTGTTGTTACCAGCAAAAATACACATTGTCCCCCTGCCTCCCTTAGTGAGTCAAGGACAAAACAGGGTCTGATCAGCTACAGAGACTGTGTCCTCCGAAGCCATGATTTCATAGTTGCTGGGTGACAGCTATTAAGTTTTATTCAAATACTTATTTCCATATAAGTAAAAAAACCCAACAACAACCCTTGTTGCAATCATACAGTCCTACTGCCTACTAAAATCTCTTAATTCAAAGTTGTCAAGGTTGAACATATTAGTATAGCAATAGGACAGACAAGCTTCCC